ACGTTAAAAATGGTATGGTATGTTTTACTTTTGAGAAGCACTAAGCGTCTCTCTATCACACCACACACGCAGACAGGAAGCCCTGCCTTTTCCTCAAACTGGGATACTATCGACAGCAAAATAACCACAGAGTACTGTAATGTGAATCAAATACAATGATGTTATATTGTAATAAGCATATTGGGACAATAATGTTGGCAATGAATCGACCCAGCACAAACAATTGACCATGAAGACAAATCAAGAATAGCCATCCACAATTATATAGCAACTATTTACTACTGTCTACCAAGAACAATTACTACACAAATTGAATCAATTCAGTTTTTTTGGGGTGGGGGATGTGCCCTTCAGTGACTCTGCTTAGACTAAAGTAATTCAGGCTTAATTTTATGTTAATGTCTTCATGAAAAGAATATAACAAAATTATTATATTAATAGTACAGTACTGTATGCTTTATCTACATAGGAATCATTAGACACAACATAACAAAAAATATATTAATTAATAGGTATCAAAACTGACTTAAGCAAATAATATTTATTAACACTTTGATGTCCAATTAAACATCACCACCTGCATTTAATATTGTATTATACTGATACTAATATTTTTCTTTTCTTTTTTTTTTTTGGAAAACAACCTTTGATTAAAAAGAAACAATTTAAATACATATTTGATCATTAAAACTATCACAGTAGCATTGATAAGCTCTTTGAGTTAGTTTGTTTAACTAATTTCCACAGACCACAGAATCAAGTGAATGGAAGTTGATGAACCACAGCCAAAGCAAATGCTCATTCTGCATCACCTGAAAGCTGAAGTCAAGAATTAAAGAAGTGCTTCCTGGTCGAAGTCATGTTCTCCCATGTATTTTTTTGTAAAAAAACAATAATATATTAAGTACTTTTAATAGAGCAAAAACCATTGAGAAATTAGTAGGATGTGAAACATTGGCTACGGTCACACTAGCGTCTCAAGCCTGGCTGGACTTACCGCGGGTGAGATTTAAAGCCAGGCTCGAAATTCTAGGTCGGTCACACTAGTTGGATTGACCTCCAAATTATGAAAGTCGAAACAGGAAGTTAGAGCGCCGCCAAAATCAAAATACGGGCTCCGCGCGAAACATTCTTGCAATCGATCGTTACTTCCAGAGGAATGATCAATTTTATGCTTTTTATTATTTCATTTTTACAACAAATTTAGGATTACGTTCAAAATGCACCCGACTTCGTTAATCGCATTACTACCGTTGCTGGTTAGGATAATCGATGTAGACCATAGACCTAAGATAATGGACAGTATAGCGGATGATCTAGGCTCAGATGTAAGCGCTATGCTAGTTTTCGCATTGATAAGTGCATTACGTAGGAACCGGCAACGACAATTGCGAAGGGAAGATTTTAGAAGATCTCTTTTATGGCAGCACGTACAAGAACAACAATTAATGCAAGAATATTTGGGGCAGTTGCATGTTGCACTAGACGGTCTTCCAATCCGACGAAGATGGTGGATTAAACCAGGTTCTAGAAGCACAGACTGGTGGGAAAATGTTGTACTGAGACATTGGGACGAAGATGACTGGCTGTCTAATTTCAGGTAGGCCTAGGGCCTAGGTTAGGGGGTCGACACATATATAGTCCTAGTGGTCATCCGTACAAACATTTTAAATGTTAATTTACAGAGTTGGATAAGAAAAAATACATACTAAGAGGGCGAATTAATGAGTGTTCAAAAGTGGGAATTACAATATTAATATGATTGGGTCTACTACATCGTACAACATGATTTACAATTTTTGCATGAATTTGATTGCATTGCAATAACCCCCCACAGTCCCCGGTGGAGGTTCAAAATGCTTGATAAAATAGGTACAAAATACAGAAAGCATTTGTTGTAATTATTATTCAGACATTCATATTTAAAATTCTGTTTTTGCAAATGAGGTTTATATACCACAACTATACCGGTTTGATCAACAGGAATAAAAATTATCATTATACTGTATAACAGTATTATTATTATTGTATTACGATAACTTAAACCCATGTTTTTGTGTATGTTCATTAATATTATTTTATTTTTTCTGAAGATGGTCCCAATATTTGATGATTGTTTCTTTTTTTTTTTTTTATATTTCAGGGTGAACAAAGACACATTTACTTTTATAGCTGAAATGTTAAGACCACATATTGAAAGGCAAGTCACCAAGTTGCGGTCCCATTTTCAGTAGAGCATCGACTAGCATTGACACTTTATAGGCTGGCCACCGGAAATTCATTTAGGTGCATTTCCAATCAATTTGGGGTTGCAAAGTCTTCAGCCATCGGAATTTACCATGATGTGTGTCGGGCCATCGAAGAAGTCCTGATGCCAAAATTTATTAGAATACTAGAAGGTCAGGAACTTTTGGTAGGTATTATTTATATTTTTTAATAATAAAAGTGTAAAAGTCAACAAACTTTAAACTTTGCAATTTATTAAAAAAAAATTTTTTTTTCTTAATTTTGCAGAATAATTTTGAGAAGTTTAGACTAAAGGGTGGATTCCCACAAATAGCAGCAGCCATTGATGGGACACACATAAAAATTAAAGCGCCGAGGGATGAGCCAGAAGATTATTTTAATCATAAGTCATCATATTCGATTGTTGTTCAAGCACTGGTTGACTCTAATGGTCGATTTATTGATACGTTTGTTGGGATGCCAGGGAGTGTGCACGATGCACGCGTTTCACAATATCCTCATTGTGATCGTCTGAAAAACAATCAACTTTTTAAACCTAACCCGGTAGAGGTGGTAGAGGGATGCAACATTCCACTTTTGATTATTGGAGATCCGGCTTACCCTCTCCTACCCAATTTAATGAGACCTTTCTCAGGAAGGGGTAGACTGACACGTCCTCAAAACAATTTTAATTACAAACTATCATTGACCAGAATGGTAGTTGAACACGCATTTGGACGCTTAAAAGGTCGTTGGCGTCTTCTGCTAAAAGAAAATGAGCATGAATTGGCAAACTTACGGCATGTTGTGCAAGCCTGTTGTACCTTGCACAACATTTGCATTTCTAACTGTGTTCCATACAGAAGTTGTTGGGATGAAGGTGTTGAACTAATTCAAAATAATGAAACTTGTAGACTGATGCCCGCTGGAGAGGCAGAAAACATTCGGCAATCTATTATGGCATATTTAGGCAATATTTAATAGTTATCCGTAACTTAATGCAGTTGTCTCTGCACTCCTTAGTGTTTTTCATGTACAAATTATTTAGAAAATAAAAAAAAAAAAACCAGATTAAACTTAAATAATGTGCTTGTTATTTTGATGATGGTAGAGTGACTGTTGTTGATGAGTCTGAAGATGTGCAGTAAGTTATAATGCTGATGTGTAGGTAGGAAGAATATTTTCATTCAAGGTGGCTCCAAGTTGAATGGAGTAGTCAATCTTCGAACGAACGAAATATTCTTTCCATTGCCCTATTAGACAAATGGTAGATTTTTTCATAAATAAGAATCCCCATTCATGAAAAAGGTAGATTTTTTCATAAAATATCAAATCAGAGGAATCTATTTTTGGTGTGTAATATTATTACTAATAAAGCAAAATAATGAATGTTTGTGTTTCGTGAAATGGACAGAGTATTTTCATTCATTGAATGATTGACTGTTCCACACCACTTGACATGAAAATATTCTTCCCATTGCACTCATAAAAATTCTTTATTTGTATTTTATGGAATACTGACCAATGAGGAAATTTCTATACAAACATAATAAAAATGATGTTTCATTTTTTAAATGGTAAGTAAGTAGAGTATAGTTATATTTTTACAATACCAAAGGAAAGTGTTTGTTTGCAGGCTTTCCTATTCATACCTGAATTTCTTTTTAAAAACTTATACTAAGATGAACATGATTTTGAGAAGTAGGGTAAAGTGGGGTAATTGGAACGGTGGGGTAATTGGAACGTTTGAGACTCTTTTTCATTTAATTCAATAACTATGACAGTGAACACCACCTAGAGTTAATTCACAAACAAACAAATATATATTTTGTAAAATGGCGTCTTTGTTTTGAGCATTGTGTCACATTGTTTGCAGAAAATCATCTTCAATTGTGACCATCCTTAAGTCATCCGTCAATAAAATTTGTAATTAGTAATATTAAACATCTCGAGAAAGTGTTAGTGTAGTTAATTCATCATTTAAGTTCCAATTTTTGCAGTTTTTACGCCAGATTCTGGTTGCATAAGTAGCAGATATATATCTACGTACAGGTAAGCCTTTGTTCCGTCGTGATTTGTTTATTTTTTCAAAGCAATTTTTATCTTACATTTAGGATTACATTTGTGTTTTGAATGACGTCGCTAACCAAATGTCGCCTTGTTTTATTTACAATGTTAGCTTTTAGGCTGTGACCTATGACTTCAAAAATGTAAATTTTAAGGGGAAAATTAGTTTTTTTCTGTCAAATTTCTGTTTATTTAATATTATTATTATCATAGTAAATTGCAAAACCAGTTTTAGGTTTAAATATTAAACTATTAGCTTTTTAATGCTATATTAAAACAGAGCATTATAGACCATTCATGTTGTTGACACAGGCGCATGTTTTTTTCGGCCATTTTTTTTATGTCATCCCATAAGTGGTTGCTATAAATAGTTGGATAGACCATTTACCCCTGTTTATCAAAGTTCAAGTTTGTTAACTTTTTTGGTGGATTATAACATGTACTTGTGAAATTCTATGTTTAATCAAATAGGTACATATCATTTATAATTTAAATGACAATAATATAAGAGTGTTCCATTTACCCCAATTGTGTGGGGTAAATGAAACGGGCTACAATTTTAATTAATGTAATTTTTTTTTATATTTTTGCATATTTTAACAGAGTGTGCTATTACATATTACCTTATTCTTATTATTTTGTACTCTACTATGTTTTCAGATCGAATATGGCAAGACAGAAGCCATCATGGACCCCAAAATATGGGAAATGGAAGCCGGAAGCAATGGAACTTGCGATGAAAGCTGTTGAGGAGAAGAGGCTTACTTTACGTAAGGCAGCAAAGCAGTATGATGTGCCACAGGCTACACTGTGTAGACGGTTAAAAAGTGGTGTAAAGGCAGATGCACAGGCAACTAGACCACCAACGTTTACTATTGAAGATGAACGCCGCCTAGTCACTTATTTGCAAGAGATGGAGAGCCTCGGCTTTGGCCTCAGCATAAACAGGGTTTGTAAATTGGCATATGAAATGGCAGAAGAGGCAGGCATTCCACACCGCTTCAATAAAGAAGAAAAAAAAGCAGGTTATGACTGGTACCCTCAACTTTCATTAAGAAAACCTGAAGGCCTATCAGCTGCGCGTGCAGCTATGCTAAATCCGAATGTTATTGGAGACCACTTTGCAAAATTAGGCGAATTGCTGGACAGAACTGGTGTAAAGTCCAAGCCTGCCCAGATATATAACTTGGATGAAACAGGACTAAGTCTTGTACACACTCCGTCAAAGGTAATCGCCACTAAGGGTAAAAAAACTGTTCAGTCTCGTACCAGTGATTGTGGAGAAAATGTCACCATTCTTGTGTGTGCTAACGCCCAAGGTAGTGTTCTACCTCCCTTTATCATATTTAAAGGAAAGCGCTTAGCTGCGGGGTTGACAAATAATGCCCCACCAGGAACCCTTTTTGCTGTCAGCAATTCCAGTTTCATAAACGCTGAACTGTTTGAAAGTTGGTTTAGCCGAATGTTTATACCATCATTGCCACCAGTACGCCCTGTGCTACTAGTATTAGATGGCCACTCTTCACATATTACTATTGCAACGCTCAAATTAGCTCGTGAACACTCCATCCATATTTATTGCCTACCACCCCACACTACAAACCACACACAACCTCTTGACAAGTCCGTATTTAAGTCTGTTAAGAATGCGTACAACAAGAGATGTGAGCATTTCATGCGTGAAAATCCAAACTCTGTCATTACACGCTATGACTTTTGTGGACTGTTCAAGGATGTGTTTCACAGTGTGATGACAATGGCCAACATCATGAGTGGGTTCAAGTCCACTGGCATTTATCCATTCAACCCACAAGCCATCACAACTGAGCATATGCAATTCTCAAAAACATCAAATGCAAAAGCGTTTACTGCTTATAAATTTGAAGGAGCTACACTTGGAATACCTCAAAAATACAGATGATAAAATTAGTTTTTCAAAATTCTGTGAACTTCAACCAAAGTGGTGTGTATCTGTAAACAGCAGAGGTATGCACTCTGTATGTGTATGCCAGCAGCATCAGAACGTCAAGATGCTACTTGCATCTATTCCTGATAAATGCGACTATAAAGACTACTTAAACAAAATAGTATGCAGCAATGACAACCGTAACTATATGATGCAGTCATGCGAAATGTGTCCCGGAAAAACAGGCCTGAAAGAATACCTGACAGACCTCTTTTCTGCAAATGAAATTGACTTGGATGACACTGTCAATTACAAACAGGGGACTCACACAGACAGAACTACATTAGCTTCACTACAACTATCTGTGCAGGAATTTATTGATATTGTTTGCAGTGCATTTGATTCTCTTCGGCAACAATATCAATAAATTCCTGCACAGATATTTATTGATATTGTTGGCGAAGAGAATCAAATGCACTGCAAACAATATCAATAAATTCCTGCACAGATAGTTATTGATATTGTTTGCAGTGCATTTGATTCTCTTCGGCAACATCACTTTATTACAAAATCCCAATCATCATATCTACAATCACTCAAAGAAACCTTAGCAGATGATTCTATTATAATATTGTTAGATTTTGCTGAGAATTATAGTTTCCTGGTCCAAGACGCTATCCAGGGTTATTATTGGGATAATACCCAAGCAACCCTTCACCCGCATACGATATCCCACATCAAATTTGATGTGGGAAATTGCACGCATGAATCGTTTGCCCAGGCCCTAATTCGAAAAAGAAGAAATCGAGTATGGGACGCCAATTAAATTAGGTATGGCGCGCACTAAGTGCAATAAAGAGTGAGTAACCTAAAATTAGGGCCTGGAACCCAGGCTAGGCAAACCTTTGCAGCCATATTTCAGACCATGGAATGGTGGCAGAATGGCATTTTTTTGCCACAAGCCATGGCAAAAGTCCAGGTGATGGGCTCGGAGGAACTACCAAGGGGCTAGTAGCCAGAGCTAGTCTCCAAACTACCGAGAAGAATCAAATATTAAGTGCTCAACAGATGTTTGCATGGGCAGACAAGAACATCAGTGGCATTAAGTTCTTTTTGTCAGTAATGATGACATAAAAGCAAATAAAGAAAAATACAAACTGCTTGACCGGTTCTCCAAATCTAAGACCATTACTGGCACACGGTCACATCATAGTTTTGTCCCTTAATTAATGAAGGACAATTAGAGATGAGACGACTATCGAATGATACTTTTTTCAGCTTGTTTTCACTCTGAGATGCAGTGCAAAGTTCTGTATCAACTGACCAGAGCGAGTACCAACCAGGGAAATACATTGCATGTACCTATGACAATGAGTGGTACATTGGCACTATAATGGAAAGATCAGAGGAACAACATGATGTCTTAGTTAAGTTCATGAGAAGGGCAAAGAGGTCAAATGCACTTTCCTGGCCCCAAGATACCCATAATGAATGTTGGATACCATTTCAAAATGTTGTATGTGTCATCAGTGCTCCAGATTTACAGGGATGTGGAGGCTGTCACTACAAAATAACTCCTACTGACTTTTAAAATATTCAAGACAAACTGCCATCTCTTATTAAGTGAACAAAAACAGTCATAGCACAAATCTGTATGGCAAGGTATCATCTGACAGTTTATTATTTAACAGGTTTAGTTACATCTACATTTACTATTTAATTTGACACTAATGTTACTCTTAAAAATTTCTGTAATTTTTAATGTATGTATTTGAAATGTTATTACCTTGTTTCTTGCTATTAAATCTGTAAATGCATTGTTAACTTGTCTTATATCTTCTCCATTTTTGGAGTTTTTTTCGATGAAAAAATAAAATTTTAAAAAATTATTGTTAAAATACATGTGTACAGTACTTTTCAAAATAGTATCTAACGACGAAGGAGCTGAGTACCAAATCTGAAATTTGGTTTATAGGTAGATCTAATATATCTGATTAACTGGTGTAAATGTAAGAAAAAATTTTAACTGTCCACATTATGATCCGTTAATGAGAAATATGTATGACGCCAATTAAATTAGGTATGGCGCGCACTAAGTGCAATAAAGAGTGAGTAACCTAAAATTAGGGCCTGGAACCCAGGCTAGCCCTTAATGAGCAAGATGTGCATCGCATCGTCCAGTTCTTGAAGTCAATTGGAAACGTCGATGGATATGTATTATACCCGGACGTGTACAAGGGCGGAGAGAACAGGACCCAAGAGTTTGACTTCTACCTTGCACGATGACAAAGCAGTCCATTCATCGGAAGTATATCAAGATGTTAGAGGATGTGAATGCACGCCGTAACATTGCAGGTAATCATAGCTAGTATTTTTATTTTTGTCTGTTCTGCTTGTGTAAATACTGGTTATTTGATTATTCTTGCATTTCAGGTACAGTATCTTTCCCAACTGGCATATTATTGTCTTGAATACTGGATATCTGTCTGTTGAATTACCTGCTTGTGGAATCTGATTTCCTACAATTCTGAAAATGATACTGATTTTTCACCACTTTTTTAAATAAAAAAAAACATTAGTACCCTTTGTAGTAACCAATTCATCAATTTTCTTTACACATCAGGTCGTTTGCCACATAGGATTGCAAAATGCACAACTTTTTGGAAAGTTTGGATACAGTTCATCCCACATGTGATAGTTAATAAACCACGAACAGATTTGTGTTGGTTATGCCAGGCCAGCAGTTCCAAAGTTTATCAAAGTGCTATTAGAATGAGACAGAAGAAAATAAGAGAAAGAGACTGCAAGATTTTATTGATCATTTACATAATGTGAATGAAGAGAGGCAGCACTACAGAGAGTTGATAGAGGAAGCAAGGCTGTCACTAACAAACAAACCACGTCTTGTTGGTGAGACTGTGCATGACCTGGCAGGTAGGATGCACTATAGTTTTCATTTTGCACAACAGGTGCACTATCCATATGATCCGGACCAGCCAGGCCCTGTCTTCTTCCTCACCACCAGGAAGTGTGGGGTATTTGGTGTTTCCTGTGAGCCAGTGGGGCAACAAGTTAACTATCTTGTTGATGAGAGACATTGCGTTTCAAAGGGCTCGAATCCAGTGATTTCCTATCTCCATGATTTATTTGCAACGCAAAGCCTACATGAATCAGACCAGCCCTCAATTGTGATAACTGCTCAGAGGGCAAAATAAGAACAAGTATATTCTTTGGTACTTGGCTTGGAGGTGTATTGTTCGCAAGCACAGCTCCATATAAGTTTACACTTCCTTATAGCTGGACATACAAAATTTGCCCCAGATGCAAACTTTAGAGTTTTTAAGCAGTTTTACAGGAGAAGTGTAACAAGCAGTTTGGCTGAAATGTCAGCGGTTGTGAACAACAGTTCAAAGGCAGGAGCAAACATTGCCCATGTTTTTGGATGGGAAGATGGAACTGTGGATGTTCCAAACTACAATTGGCAGGAGTTCCTATCACAATTGTAGAGTATAAGTTTTGAAGCGCCCTCTCTACATATTCTGTATCTCCCAATTGGTATATATCCTGGTTGTTACCATGTGTGGGAGAGAGATGATCTTGGAATTGGTTACGGCACATCTCCTCTTGACACCATTTTGTTATTTAAACTTTTAACAATTTTTGTTTTAAACTTTTGTTGTTTTACAACTTTAATCAACCAGTTGATTCATTTTTTGACGTGTCGACGACACTTTTGTTTGGATTTTAAATGTAAGTTACCACTTCATTGTTTTAATTACTTTGCATACCTTTGAGAATATACGAATACTTTGCCTTGTTTGAAGGCACGTTGATAATGATAGTTACTTTAGTTAATTAATTAATTAAGAATTTATATAAACTATTTACAGTTTATTTCCTGTATTATTGTAGGCCTATACTTACAGTAGTGCTATATGGCGTATAAGATGCTTATTCAGAGCACTTAAAATAGTGTGATTAGAACACGTTTAAATCATTGTTTATTGTTAATGTTTTAATTAAGTATGATAATAAGATTAATTTATGCATAGATTCATTTTATGTTAATATTATGTGTCTATAGACTCCTTGTATATTGTTCAATATAAGTAATATTCAGTATTATCTTATACTGTGCTTGTATCTTTTAACCATTGCTACTTAAAGTCACTAGAGGCCCAACCTATGTTTATTGGAGGTCATATTATCCACAGTAGCACAATGCCCTTGGTTACCATGGTGATGAAATAGTTTAGTGCTGACCATTACTGAGACCTTATCTTGTTTATGTTACAGTGGTTAAAGCTAGAATTGATAATTTGATTTGAAGTTTTATTAGCCTTGGAGACGCTAAAGTCAAGTAAGTCCTGTTTTAGCGATTAAGTTTAGTTGCATACTTTGTATTATTCTTTTATATTATCCGTTTGATATACCTTTTAAGGGTTTTTATATCGATTTTGATTACCACAATTACTGTATGTTGTTTATGTTGCATTTATAGTTTTGTAATTAATTAGTTAATCATTTATTGCTTTAAATTTACATTATTATTGATAATTATTTGTTTAGTTTTAACATAAGGTTAAATTACTTGTCATGAGTATATCCAATGTGGAAATTATTTTCATGTTTATATTTTTTGTATCTTTATATTATAGTCACCAACAATTAACCAACGGATGAAGTTCACATGTTTTGATTGTAAATAAATGTAAATATTGTACAGAACTTACTACGTCGTGTTAATTTGCTTGCGTCGATTGATTTAGCCACAACGCCACCTAGCGAACGTGCGGCGTTCGTTACAACAATACTTTAAACCATTGCCAGGCATCAAAACATTATGAGGTATTTTTTTGTTTCAATAATTCAATGGTATTTAATTACATTTATTTCAGTGCCTAAATAAATAATTAAATTTAAAAAAACCTGAAACATATTCATGTATTATTATTATATTATATACTTGTGATGTTCATATTTCCCAAAAGACAGTGGACTACGCGAGTCATTTTAATCCAAATGCTTTTCTTTCTTTTTAAAAATAATATCTCAACCTGTTACATTTTTTTTATTTTATAGATTCAGTCATGATGAACCTGACATTGTGTATTTTAAGCCGTATGTGAGCAGCCCGGAAAGGAAGTTCCAACTTCTAAAGAAAGTAGATATCTTGCCACCTGGTCTGTTGCCTACAGTAATTCAGTCACCAGGTTTGACTCCTTATAGGCAGTGGTACCTGTACAAAAAAATATGTGAGTATTGTACACCATCCACACAGGATATCGTTGCTCTAAAACCAACTGTTGATCAACCAACTGCAAATGATTCTGACAATGAAGAAATTGACAATGAAGCTCCCTCAACCTCTGCATCTGCTGTTGCAAAATCTGGAAAGAGACCTGCTACTAAGAACCCCAAAGTACAAACTAAAAACCAGAAGGCTTCAAAAAACAAATGAGTAATTGAAACTCTGATCGGAACTCTTAAAAACCAATAATATTCGGATCGCAACACTCATTGCGATAAATGACCTTGATTTATATGATGTGCAGAAGAAAATTGAATGTTTTTTTTTAATTTGTGTTCTTTTAAGAAAATATATTAAGGATATTTTAAGTTATAATAAGAGAGGTGACCTTGTTTTATTGTAAACTAATAAAAAATTTGAATGCCAATAAAACAGAGGTTCATCCTAATTGACGCATGCAACAGCAAAAAACTTGTTTTTTGTATTGAGTATTTTCCCATCATTAGGCCTAGTATTGAAAATTTTGTTGAATTTTTATTTATTTATTTATTTTTTTTTTAAATTTATTTATTTTTTTTTTTATTTAATTTATACATAGTATAGTTTATGTTGTCATACTTGTGTGTACCAAATTTCATTGCAATTTGATAATTATAAGTCTATTGAAAAATACTGAATTTTTTTTTATTTTTTTTATTTTTTTATTTTTTTTTATTTAATTTAATTTATACATAGTATAGTTATGTTGTCATACTTGTGTGTGTCAAATTTCATTGCAATTGCATAATTACATGTGGTGGTTTAACTTTAGTTTGAGAAATGGAAATAAGTCATGCTATACCTTGTTGGAAAGCTTTAAAAATATACAATTTAGTGATATAATTATCTCATTTTCTCAAAATGTTAACTCATGGCTCCTTTTCTGGTGACACGACCCGTTTGTTTTTGATAAAAAAAAAATGATCTAATAATTTTTTTCTATGTGTCCTAAGCCCAAAATTTGTCGGGGCCCTAGGCAGGCCTTCAACCCAAGCCAATTGAGTTTATTTTCTGTTAAATCTCCAGCCACTAAGCCTACCTAGGCCTAAGCCCTAGCTACCTCCAACCAGCCATGTACAGTTGGCCTAGGCCATACTACTACAGTACTATTATCTAATGGCTGAGGAAGCAGGTCAACTTGGCCACAAGTCAACTCGGCCACAGTCAACTCGGCCACACGTTATTTATAATTAAAATGAAATGTAAATTTTACTCAGTTTTTGCATCCTTTTTCTTCAATATGATTGAAATGAAGTACAACAGTATATTTTAGTAAAATTCTGATTATCTTATTTACTTGGCCACAAGTCAACTCGGCCACAGTCAACTCGGCCACAAGTTATTTATAATTAAAATGAAATGTAAATTTTACTCAGTTTTTGCATCCTTTTTCTTCAATATGATTGAAATGAAGTACAACAGTATATTTTAGTAAAATTCTGATTATCATCGTGAGATCATTGTACGTTATTCATTTCTTCACACTGTACTCTTATTAAACAGAGAAAACCCGCCACTTACAGAATGGAATAAAATCATTAACAATTTAAGCAATCTTAATAATTAAGAAAAACACATATACTGTATTAATGTTTAATTTTTTTCACGTTAAAACACTGACATAAAACATGAGTACATACTGTAGACCTAATCATAAAAAATTGAAATAGAAAAACCACATTATGATTTTTTTAAATTCTAAAAATTTATTTTCAATCCGACTAAAATCAAATGAATGCACGATGGCGTGCATTTCGGTACTATTTTCTTTAGAACCGCGCCCAATAATTAGGCCTACGTTAAAATTAGGAGGGACGCATAGCATCTGGTATCAATTTATCCACAATAAGAACAATTGGTATTGTTGAGTGACAGACATTTCGCTTCAGTCCTTCATATTTGTTCGACCATTGGGGGCTATGTTTGAAATCCGTCAGTGACAAGGATGCATCCAATGACATGAATCAGCGGTGACATGTCGGTGACACTTCCTTTTTAAATATTTACTTTAATAATACTAATTAGTCATAATAATAATATAAGATTTAACATGAAATTGAGCCATTTCAACCCTAAGTATGTTATGGAGTACTGACAGCAGTGTAAAAACATATATAAGCATATACTGTAGGTATACTGTATATATTTATATATATATATATATATATACATATATACAACAACAACAATATTAATATTAATAATATGAGAAAAATACCAATAAAACACCAATTAAACAATATTTTTAAAATTACTATTATTAAAACTATACTAATATACTAAGACTAATATATATGATTGGAGAGAGGATGATGTTGATTCACTGATTCTGCCTAACAAATGTAAAGTACCACTGGAGCTCCACATGGATGTTCTTTTTCCATTCCTGTTTCCATTATATCTAATTATTTTATACCTGTTAATAATGAAAGTTTTTTTATATCAATTTTCTTGTTTTTGGGGGTTTTTTTTGTGTAGATATAATTACCTTAGTAGTTGTTTAAACTGATGACATTAAACTGGGCTGTAACAAAGATAAGTTGAACTCCAAATGTTAAAAAAGAAAAGTAATGTACTTCCTCATTAGGAAAATTTAATGTTGAGTGTAATGTTTTATCTGTTTAATGTATCTTTTACACAATCGGCTTCAATACTCAGCAGTGTGATTTGGTTCAATAATAAGGGGAAAAAAATGCTGGTAATCCAACAAGCTATACGGAACTACTCTAATAAACACCCAAATGACAGGAAATTACCAAAATGTGTATACAGTAATTAATGTTGAAACCTTTTGAAGTTTTAACATCAACAAGTATTTATTTGTCAGAATTGTTTGTAATGGTTTTATAATTTATTTAATCATTTTGTTTATTATTGTCATACGTGTTACCATATCATCAATAAATTTGTTCAAGTAAAACCACGAACGTCCTCAAGGCTCAATACGGTTGTTAAATCGTTGTTTACATCCTCTCGCGATCGCACAGCACGACGATCAGGTTGCAAATTCTTTGGATAATTAGATAACCTGTGCAGAAAATGGAATATGCCATTAGAGGTCCTTACTACTGTAGAAGATATTGGACCTGAGCTACTTACACGGGGTCCATGGATCGCACTTGATCCGCCTAGCCAAGGCTCAAGCTAGGCAGGGAGTTGGTGGTTTGCCTAAGTAGGTAGGCCTAGGCTTAGCTAGGCTAGCCTAGGGCCAAGCTATCTATAGTATATAACTAACGAAAAACGACAAACGAATCGATGTATCATTTAAAACTAACCTGTTACAGGCCTATAAGAGTAATGGTCAAACCGTTTGCAGGTCCAACTCCACCTCGTGCGTGCAGCATATCCTAGCAGAGAACATAGATAGAGGAAGAACGAGCAGCTAGTGTATTTTGCATTACAGAATTGTAACGGTTTATTCCGGAAGTGCGTCAATATCATGCGAGCCAGGCCCTCTCGCGGCAGTATGTGAACTGCCCATGTCCATAGTAGTAACATTGCAAGTGAAGTGCTGCGAAGTAAAACTGCATATAAATGTTCTTCGTCTATATTAGAACACTGACGAGCTGACGGCAGGCCCGTAGCCAGGTCATTTCAAGGGGGTTCTCAGGGCGTGGGGTCCAGGGGGCCTGCCTAAGGGCCACGGTGGGGTCGGGGGCGAAGCCCCTGAACCAGAGCAGTTTTTTTTTTGTGTTTATGGGTCTATATAATAATAATAATAGTTGGATTTGTAGAGCGCATCATGCAAAAAGATCTATGTAATAAAAATGTGGTAATATAATAAAATTAGAAAATATTATTTCTGAGAATTGGCATGTTTAAAGTCACACCGAAAGATATTAAAAAAAAACCTCATCGCATAATCAATGCTCAACACATTTATTATTATAAAACAAACAAACAAAAAAACTATTCTTCTTATTCTACCTCTTCCTATTCTTCTTCTTCTACTACTTCTTCTTAACTCTCATTTTGTACACTGAAAATAATAGTACTATTTTACTACATGGCTAAAAAAGCACACTGAGTCATGACTACTGACAGGGCCATCGTTAAATTAAATCAGAGCCCAAAATATAGCATCATATTCAATACGTCACCTGACATCATGAGAACCTACACTTTAATTACAATTATTTGTTATATACTAGGCCTAATTCGAAATTATTATTTTGAGACTTTATAACATAATACATGCTGATTAATAATAGCTGAGATTTGATGCACATTTTAGAATTAATAATCGTTTTTAGTATATTTTACTGAATATTTATTGTCTACCAAATGAAATAGGAATTATATGCATCTTTAGAAATACAATTTCTACAATATTAATCTTGTTTTTATATAGATAAATGTTCGATAAATTCTATCTTTCATTAAAAAAAACGAAATTCAGCGCGTCTATTTTCATTCTAATCAATGACGTTCGTAAACGTACAGTACACGGACGTCATCGTCGAATCCCAGGACTTTCGACGGTAAAGAATGGCCTGTCTGCCTAGGTCCCAGGCCAACCAATAATAATTAACAAAATGTATTTTGTTTTAACATAGGCCTATGGTACCTGTAGTACGTCCTATTGTACTATAGGCCTAGGCCTACACTAGTTTGTTGTCGTCGGGGTAATTGCTGCGAAGCAGCCAATTCATAATCTTGACAGCAATTTGACCTCTGAAAGGCCATTGTTTGTCAAAAATCAATCGCCTGAGACAACTGAAAAGCGGAGTTTCCTTCTTTCGTTCTGCCGCGTAAAATCAATTACTTTAGGCGACGTTTGTAGACTATCCTACTCGTACCAACGTCGGCATGTCGCGACGCTGGAGTACTATTCAGCGTTTTTACTATATTTCTAGGTTTCCTATTTC